ATTCAGTGTAGCGGTTAAGGGTTAAAATAGTTTAAAAAAGTTTTAAATAGTTTTTCCTGATTTTTAGAAAAAAAATATTATAGGTTACATAACTTATTCATGCTATTAAATTTAGTTTGGCAAACCCTTTTAAAAATCTTTTCTATGTTACATCAAGATTTTTTAGGCCATTAGCGTTTCTTTTAGCCCTTTTAAGTGCTTTTACCCGCTTGCCGAAATTTATTTTACATGGATTTTATAGGTGGGAAACCACAGTTCTGATAGTTAATACCACCATATATATTTAAACGCCATTGGTTTTAAGTGGTTGCTAAATTTATTTATATAGAAAGTAGATAGCCTGGATTTTTATGTAAAAGTATTCAGAGTTTTTAATTTATATTTCATATATGCAGGAAATGTTCTCACTGTATATTTATTGTAATTTATAAGAACAACTCAAGTTTCTGTTTCGCATGGCTTAAAAAAAGTTCGTGTCGCACGTCAAGTGTCATTACTGTCATTACGGTGTTACTACGGTACACTTTCAGTAACCTAAACTTTCGTTTGATTTTGTATGCATATCTGATAAGTTTTATTGCATTTTTTTCTATTTGTGTCTATAATTTAGTACTAGGATTTATTTCCTAAGTCTTGCATGTACCTAAATAGTAGAAAAATACAAAATTAGTTCACCACACTGAGGTAATATCATACGATCGAAAAAAAAACGGCATCAAAGACGGTTGGGAAATGAGGGTGGGATCGTACACTGATATTTCCAAATTCACAATAAAAAAAGTTAAAAATAATATCTTTAAATTGCTTGCTAATCAGATTAAATAAATCAAAAAACCACAGTCGGACTTAAAATTAATTTAAATAACAATTAAATAGTTTTGTGATTGTTAAGGTACCCAAAACAAAAAAAAAGTATCAAGTGTGGCATATCATTGTACTCAGGAGACCAAGATCTTTTAAAAACTGAAATAAAAAATGCAGGTCCGTATTTAAAAAAATTAAGTTGGTCTATGTATCCCACAAATTATCAGCTAATTTGAAGATCAGATAGCCCATCAGATAGCCCAATTAGTTTTTTAATTTTCTAAAAAGTGACGACAAGAAAAGATAAAATTAATTTTCAAAAAAATCCGTTTATCTCAAAAAACCTCAGCAAATCCTTGCAATTTTTGAAACTTTTTTGATAGTATGTTGGCGAAAATCCCATGGCGCAATCTTACCCCAATTTAACCATCTTCGTATTAGCCGGAGAGCTGGCGACATATTTAGAGAACATAATTTAGGCAAGTTAGATTAACAAAAAAAATAAAGTTTAATAACTTGTGAACCCAGAATCCTAAGTCTGGCTGGGGGGTTGGGGGTATTTCGTTACTGCGCAACCCATAACATTTGCAAAAAAATAAATCCAAAAAACATTCTTTAGGCAACTTGAAATTTGTTTATTCTTAAATTTTAGCATCTATTTAACCTAGAAATAAGTATGCCAGATTTTTTTTTCGGGTTTAAAGTGTAACCCGACCATTCCAAATATGTTTAATTATTATACCTGGAAAACATACTTTAGGCATTCTAAAATTTTTACAGCGTGTTTATTAGATGATATAAAAAAATATGTGTTAATTGCCAGACGAATTCAACGGGTTTTAATACTTGCCTGACGCGAATAAGGATTTTAAATGAGCACGAAGAAAAAAGTATTACGATAAATAGTTTAATGAGACCAATCGGCAGCCGATGCGGCTGACGTAACAGTATTTTGGAGTACTTCAAATTTTCATAAAAACAATTTCTTTTCGGTTTCATTTCAATTATTTGCAGGCTTTTAATTCAGAGATTATTTTGTTGGAATTAAGTTACCATGTACAAATATGTATTTATAAATTAAATATTGATGTGCATAGTGTAAATAGTTTAGAATAATTACTGCAAATAAATATTTTAGTAACTACTAGTTTCGCTACTAACTATACTAAATCACAATGGATAAAAAACATTTATGTTGTGTAGTTTGTAAAAAAGTTACTAGTGACAAAGTTATTGTTTTAGATGAAGGCAGACTACAAAAATGCAAAGAATTTTTAAAAGTGCGCCAACAACATGGTTTAAAATTTAAAGAAGTGGTTTTACCAGAAAACGTAGTCCCGACAAAAGGGTACCATGTACAGTGCTAAAAAAATAAGTATTCTGGAATTTTATTAAAGTACCATTGTGAATGTTCCTAAATAGATTCAAAAGTAAATAAAAGTGCTTTACTTTTATGCTTAGGCGTTAAAATGACTTTTTTATATTGTCAATCAGGTCGCGAAAATTAATAATAATATAATGTCACAAAAGTATAATAATAATTATACTTTTGTGACGTTTGAAAAAAATATATCTTATATTATGCTAATTTTAAAATAATTATTCGTCTCAGATACAAAATACTTAAATTAAAAAGTCTTCTTATTGAAAGGATTTCAATCATACATTTTTATTAAAAAATGTTTCTTTTTATTTATTCAATATTAGTTAGTTTTTTAAATTTTTACGACTCCAAAATGCTGTTACGTCAGTCGCATCTGCTTTCACGGGTCTCAATAAACTATCTTTCTCGCGCTTATAGATACTCATAAGACTTTCTTATCGCGCTCATTTAAAATTTTTATTCGCGTCAGGCAAGTATTAAATCCCATTGAATTCGTCTGGCATATAACACATATTTTTTAATATCATCTAATAAACACGCTGTAAAAATTTTAGAATGCCTAAAATATGTTTTCCAGGTATAATAATTAAACATATTTGGAATGGTCGGGTTACACTTTAAACCCGAAAAAAAAGTCTGGCATACTTATTTCTAGGTTAAATAGATGCTAAAATTTAAGAATAAACAAATTTCAAGTGGCCTAAAGAATGTTTTTTACTATAGCTTGCCTAAGATATGTTCTCTAAATATGTCGTCAGCTCCTAGGCTATATCTATTACGGTTTCCGAGATACTAATGCTCGTACCTCGAATTTGCAGCACCCTGTATACCTATCTAACGAAACGTTTAGTTATTTTATGGTGTCAAAAGCGTGGAGCACCAAGTATTACTTAAAGTCTTTTTTTTCGTTTTTTAAAGAAAAACAATAAGTCCTTGTTCTAAGTAGATGGTGTTGTGTGAGATTTCCACACTCTTAAATTTATGAGAATATAACACTTTCATCGATGTGTGCGATCTGCTGTACGCCAGCGTGTAATTCGATAAATCGTGGCGTATCTAGAACGTTTAAGAATGCTTCATGCTTTCAATAGTTAGTTTTAAGCATGGAGGCCTCTTAAGCGTAGTTTATCAGGTCGAGGATAGAGTTTTGAAAGATGAAGCCGAAAGGGCTGATGTTTGCAAGTATTCGAGATCTAAAAATACATGTGACAAGACGAGGTGCTTACCAGGGGCGCACATACAGGATGGATAACGGGTATAATTACCCCTCCAAGGAAGAAATTTATAAATACGTTGTGGACGTTGTGGTATAAAATAAAATTGTCACAAAATAAATTAATAATAATTAAAATAGAAAATCCAGACCAATCCAAGATTTTTTTCAGTCACACTACCTTTCAGCGAAAAATTAATTAATATACAGGATGGTCCGAACTGTTGAAAAATAAGTAAAAAGTTCGTATAAATGTATGATTAGTTTCGGAGATACTGGGTGTAAAAGTTTCATTTTTATTTCGATTTTTTCGAAATAATTTTTGAAGTAACGTCAATATTTGGGTGGAGATTAGTGTCTCGGAGTTTTTTGACATGAGAAATTTGATTTTGATGTCAATATGAGTCCCAATTATAGGGGGCTCCACCTACATGTGTTTTAACTGTTTTGAAGAGTAATAACTTTTCGTCCGTACCTGTATAACATTACTGAGTGAAAAAATATACATTTCCGTGATTTTTTTGGTAAAAAATGTCTCTTAGTAAAGATCTCTACGAGCAACCGCTCTCGAGATATTTAGAATGGTTAGGGAACTTTTTATATATTTAAATTAATTATAAATTCTTCTTCGAAAAAATGATAAAAAAAACAGCTTCTGTTGAGCTTTTGGTACAAAAACATTTTAAATTTTTGATTTCAGTCTAACAACTATTTAGTCAACATGTTTAATTTATGTCAATGATGACAGGTATTGATAACTTCGATTCCAAATATCTCGAAAATCATTACTCGTAGCAATTTTTACCAAGAGACCTTTTTTACGTAGAAAACGTCGTGAATAAACATTTTTTTACTCAGTAATTTTATACAGGTACGGACAAAAAGTTATTACCCTTCAAACATCAAAGTCCAATTTATCATGTCAAAAAACTCCTGAACTTATTTGGAAAGAATCAAAATAAAAATAAAACTTCTACACCCTGTATCTCCGAAACTAAGAATTTTAGGACATACATTTATACGAACTTTTTTGCCTATTTTTATTTGCAGAATATGCTGCCGAAGTTTCCAGAATACAATTCCACCCTCTATAAATCTTATTATACTCTCATCTTATTAAGAATTATTGCCACAATTATTATCTAAATATTTGACTGAATCAATAGATATCTAAAAATAACTCATTCGCTACCATTCCCGTCATATTATTATGAATTCATCGAACATAGCTATAAATCCCCAAACCTGAAATGTCTAAAATATCTTCACACCGCTTGTAATTGTTTTAATGAAATTCCTCGAATATTGACATTTGATTATGGAAATTCGTCTATATTTAGGACACGTTTTTGGTTTGTTTGCCCGTCATGTCTACGCGCTGTTATTACAGTTTATATTATTTGTTATTTCTATAGGTATTTTATACACCGGAACCGATGTTTTTACCTGATTTGGAAATCCTGAATTGTTTGGTTAAAAAACAATAATTTTTCAAGCAATAATTCTCCTTTATTAATTAGTTCTTCATAGTATTTTTACTTTTTATACTAAAATAAAAACTTTTTAAAAATAAATATAATGGGAAAACTTTTTTTGCAGGAAATCTGCTTGTGATCCTCGTAGTCACGATGAGCAGGAGACTAAGATCCATCACCAACTTTTTCCTGGCGAATTTAGCAGTAGCTGACTTCTGCGTGGCCATTTTCTGCGTCTACCAAAACTTGCTTATCTACATTGTTGAAAAGTAAGTATTTAAGGTCGATTTTATTTAAATAAAGTGAAAATAAATTTAAAAATAAAATATATATTTTCTCTCTAAAAGATATGAACGAAAAATACTGCTTTTTCTTAAGTTTTTCCAGCAAATCTTTAAGATACTAATTCACGAAACTTCTAGAAAGGGACACGAAAATAATTAAACCTTCTGAAAATTTGTTTAAAAGTTTTTTATTTTCCTTGTAATATAAAAATGGAAAAATTTGAATTTATGACATACAAATTGCAGCCATCTATCATTGTCACTGTTCTTTAAATGAATGGTAAAAATAAATTTTACTTATGTCACTTATGTACAGGGCCGTCCTGAGGGGTGGAGCAGAGGAACAGTTGCTCCAGGCGGCCAAATTCGAGGGCGGCCGTTTCGGTACAATTGTACTGAATTCGATACTTTTTGACCAAATTCTGTACGCCAGTACTACATTTTGGAAAAATTGTCATTTTCTGTACGAAATTTCCAACAGTATAAATGCAACTAGTAAACTGCTTCAGAATAAAAAACTCGACATCATTGAGTCCACAAAAGCTCTAAAAGCTATCGACGACTATTTTGTCAAAATAAGGACTAACGACCATTTTAGAGAAATATTAGTGGATGCTGCAGAGCTGGCAGAAGAGCTGGAAATTGAAGCAGTTTTTACTAATGACATTAGAGCAGAAAAAAATCTAGACAGTTTTTGTATGAATCAGTGGATGAGCCAATTTTAGATCCACAGAAAAAGTTTAAAATCGAATTTTTCTTTGTTGTCCTGGATACAATCCATAAGGCTCTCCAGGAAAGGTTTGAGCTGTTAAAAGTTCACTCGGATTATTTTTGGTTTTTATACGACTTCGCAGTTCTCAGGAAATCAACCGGAAGGAAATAAAAAAGCATACCGAGAGGAAATAAAAAGATCTTCATCTCTATTTAACGGACGGAGACAAACATGATATTAATGGCCTAGAGCTTCGGGACGAGATTTTAGCTCTAATATCACCAGATAATGCCGAAAACTTCAGTTGTCCAAAACAAACACTAAAACATTTAAAAATTCACGATCTGATTGGAAACTTTCCAAATATTTCCATTTCCATAAGAATCTTATTAACGCTGCCGGTTTCAGTGGCAACCGGAGAGAGAAGTTTTTCCAAACTCAAAATAATTGAGAATTACCTGAGATCAAGTATGACACAAGAACGACTATGCGAATTATCTTTAATATCTATTGAGCACGAAATAGCGAACAGTCTAAATATCGACGATTTTATTTCAGAGTTTGCAAGGAAAAAGTTTTAGTTTTGTCCATATTAGGAATTTTGTTTCTCAGGATTATGTCTATGTATTTATTACGAATTTTGTTTTGTTAATAATTTATATTACCTAGTTTTAGGTGTTGTTTGGCTAATGTACCTTATAATGTTTTTTTATTCTTGTCAGGTACCATGTGACGCTCCTTTTAAATACAAAATTTAAATGCTAATTCTGAAAATCTTGCAATATTTATTTCCTTTTTTACGGAAAGTGTTTGATAATATTTCTTACCGTCTGTGGCACAACTTTCATATTTTTTTTCACACCTGATTCTTCGCATCAAACTTCGCACCACGGGGTTGTCACTTGTATGGGAAAACAGGCAACAGTCAAATTTAAACGTGCCAGGACCAACGACAAAGAAAGCAACATCTGCCAGGCATTGGCTTTCTTTATCACTCACATTGCTTAAATCATGATACCGCGGCCATTTTGCCAACAAAGAAGCTGGCCGGGCTGTCCTGGCAAGTGATTTTAAACAATTTTGCTTTTTTACAATATTAAATTACCATTTGGATGTATTTAATGCCATTATTCAGTTAACTGGTAAGTCAGAAATTACACACAAATACTTTATTCGTAAATACAACTAAGATGTAAACGTATTTTTGTATTTTTAGATTTCAACTTTGCAAAGACCCGCCGATAGAACTTGCCTGGCAGCGTACCTGTTTAATTAAACGTATTATTTCCTGATAATAATATCAAAACACGTAAGTACCTCTATAATTTATGATGAAAAATGATTTTGATTATGTTTTATATTATTTAAATACTTTATAACCTCAAATAATAGTAAGATCCTTGTTTATATCGCACAGCCCGTTCAAAACTGTATTGTCTTCAAAAAATGTTTACAGAACAAACAATTATTACAAAAACAATGTCCTTTTAATCTGATTTATACCTCAGAAGGATGCCAGTTAAATTTTTATTAAATCAACATTACATTATTTGGCCATTAATATGCAAAAAGGAGCATATTGCGTTAACTTAAATTTTCTTTTACTTCTCCTGACAATGTTCTCTATATTCTCTATTTTGAGTTAGTAAACTTTTGAACGGGATGTGCGATATATAAAATACATAATATATCCAAGGGCATGATCTGATAAAAGTATTTTTTGATGCATTTTTTGGTTGTTTATGCACATTGGCTTGGTTTATGTTTTATTCAGCTTATATTTATTTGGTATAACAGTTTTTTTTGCCTTTGGAATGGCATGCATTGAGGCTAGATAGTGTTTCATTAGACCATTAAAGAAATTTAAATTAGCATATATTTTTTGTGATGTTAGTGTGTTATCATGATACAGGTAGTTGTATCATAGTGCCTTATGCATGTTATTTACCTATTATATACTTATGTATTATCAGTAAATAGATGATAATATACTACTAAAATGTCTTTTTAATAGTATGTTTATCTTTCCAATTCACTAGTTATTTGCAAAATGTATTTTGAACTAATTTAAGTCATTAATTGATCATCTTTCTTTTTCAGGTTCCTGGATATTCTTTTTCATTGTTAAAAAAATATATATATTTCAATATTATTGTAATGTAAATCGCAGCTCTAAAAAATAAATGATATTGTTTATTATAATAATGTGTAATTTATTTACTATGAATTTTCTCTGAAAATAATAAGTCTTTAATAATATCATTGATTTGCTGTGTAAAGTTAATAGACATATTTTTTAATACATTAAATTATATTAAAGTAATAAAAAATATGTTTATTAACTTTAAACACTAAGTCAGTGATACCTATAAAAATATTTTTTTAAAAATTTTCCCTCTTTTAAGCCCCGCCCCTCCAATTCCCCTCAATTTAGCTAGTACTGCCAGGCGACACCAGGTGACGTCTGTTTCCATTTTTTAACATGAAGTTAGCATTTCTTTAATGTACCTATTCTCTGCTTCGCACTAATAAAAAAAGGATGGTCTGTAGGGGGGGGGGAGCGCATTTTTTCGGGCTTGCTCCAGGCGGCCAATAGCCTAAGGACGGCCCTGGTTATGTATGTACATATTGTATAATTATTGCAAACTAAAGTAACTCAAAATACAACTGTGGTCATTTTAAAGTATGTTTGTTTATACTTTTTTAGACTAGAACCATTTTATCCCTGAAAATATTAGAATTTTTAGATATAAATTGGTTCACCGGTACATTCTTCTTCATCATCAGGGGCGCAACTAGACATATACTTTTAGGGGGGCTCAAGTCTTTTGGGGGGCTTAGGTCACTATAAGATATGATTCATGTGAGGTTAAAATCAATTTTACACGACACACACTGGTCATCTGGGGGGGCTAAGCCCCCCCTGACCCCCCCTAGTTGCGTCTCTGTTCATCATTAAGGGATTTGTTGATTTTTATAAAAATTATGGTATATACAAAGCAAGAATTTCCATTAACATTATAACTGGATAAAAATTTCTCACATTTATGTCAGCATGAGAAAAAACAATATGGCGATGTTATTATATAACTTGGTAATATTTGAGGGGTAGTTTCATCTCGTTGGAATTTGACTTTCGAAAAATCCGTTTGCCAAAAATAAGCTTTTTACGTCAAGCAGTTTATGCAGAATCGTGGTTAAGAAATTACCCAACTTTTTGGAACACCCTGTATGATTTTTTAAAAAATTTCAAAATATGTAAAAAACCAAATAAATTATACTTGTCCAAGCGTTTTCCCGAAAGACTAACCGTTTTTTAAATAACAAATATTGTAATATTTGAAGGGCGTTTTCACCCTCTTGGAATTTGAGATTCGAGAAACCCCTCCTTATCAAACCTTTACACCCCATAGTCAATCCGTTTACCAAAAATCAGCTTTAAACGTCAAGCAGTTTAAGCAGAATCATGATTACTCAATGGTCATATTTTATGAAACACCCTGTATAAATTTATAAAAAATCTTAAAATATGTAAAACAACAAAATAAAATATACGTGTTTAAGAGTTTTTCCTAAAAACTCACCGGTTTTTACATAAAAAATATTTTAATATTTGAGGAATAGTTTCACCCCTTAGAATTCGAGTTTCGAAAAATCCCTTCTTATCGAACCTCTACACCCTAAAGTCAATCTGTTTTCCAAAAATCAGCTTTTTACGTCAAGCGCTTTAAGCAGGATCGTGATTAATCAATGACCAGATTTTTCCAAACACCCTGTATACATTTTTAAAAAATCTTAAAATATGTAAAAAACAAAATAAAATATACGTGTTTAAGCGTTTTTTCGGAAACTTGACCGTATTTTAAATAAAAATATTGTAATATTTGAGGGGTGGTTTCACCCTCTTGGAACGGGAATTTCGAAAAATCCCTTCTTATCGAACCTCTACACCCTAGAATCAACCTGTATGCCAAAATTGAGCTTCTTACGTTGAGTGGTTTGAGCAGGATCGTGATTAATCAGTATGTCAGTCACTTAAGGATTTTATATATTAGTATAGACACAGACTAACCTAATTATAGTAAACACCTAATTTAATTATAGTAAACCTAATAATATTAGTTTGTGGTATAGATAAAGACGATCACCTTAAAATAGAAGGAAATTGGTCTTGATCCATTTTAATTCTGACCACTCCATTTAAAAATTGCAGTTTAAAATTTTTGTTATTTAAACATAATGATAACATCAAAAATATGATTGAAGAAGACCT